AGTTTGTATTGCCACTGTTGCAGGAAGGTTTATTCCGTTTTATCCTGGGAGGATTTAATCCATTAATTTGGCAACGTGTGAGGGGGTTAAAATTCCTTAAGGACACACAAGAAAATTGTGGACTCGGAATATTTCTTAAACTCTTCTGTTTTTCCAGTCTCTTTTATTTTTCTAACAGTTTTTCCTGATTTTTGGTTTAACACAGTAATGCTTAAAAGCTTAAGGAATTCTAATACTAACGTTTCTGTGTTGAAACATATATTAAACTGTTATTCATATTTTGTATACTGTTTTGGAGACTAAAGCCTTGTTCTTTCTACTCCAATAATTCTTTCTATCCGGTTTAAAGTACATAAAAACTTTGCTGGAATAATAAACGTACAGGTTTGAAGTATATAAAAATTTCACCATTGTTACGTGTTGTATGTTTGGTTTGATATTCAGTTTGAAGATATCAAAACTTCACTGATTTAACAAAGTTCTGTATTGTTTTCAACTTTACAGAAATATGACGAATGAAAACCAAACTAATGGAAGTGTTGCGGGAATGGGTGCTACTGTTACGAGTGCTGCTGCCTCGTCAAGCCGTTCTACTCCTGCTCATGCTATGGCACCGGCAGAAAAACCCGGAAAGTTTTCCGATTTTGACTTCAAACGCTGGCAAATGAAGATGCTCTTCTATCTTACTACGTTGAGTTTGCAACGTTTCATCAAGGAGGATCCTCCGGTCATGGCTGAAAGTACTCCGGATGATGAACGACTTGTTGTAACTGAAGCATGGAAACATTCTGATTTCCTGTGCAAAAATTACATTTTGATTTGTTTGGAAGATGGCTTGTACAATGTCTATAGTGTCATGGAAACTTCAAAAGCGTTATGGAATGCGCTTGAGAAGAAGTACAAGACTGAGGATGTCGGACTTAAGAAGTTCGTGGCTGCAAGGTTCTTGGATTTCAAGATGATTGACACTAGGTCGGTCATAACTCAAGTCCAAGAACTACAAGTCATTGTACATGACCTCCTTGCTGAAGGTATGGTCATAAATGAGGCCTTTCAAGTCGCTGCTTTCATTGAGAAGTTACCTCCGCTGTGGAAGGATTTTAAGAACTATCTTAAACACAAACGGAGGGAAATGACACCTGAAGACTTGATTGTGCGTTTGAGGATAGAAGAAGACAACAAAAATGCTGAAAAGAAGTCAAGTGGACACTCGACAATAAATGGGGCAAACATTGTTGAGGAGGCACCACAAAATAAGAAGAGGAAAAAAGCTTCTGGACCAAAGAATTACCCAAGCAAGAAGAAGTTCAAGGGTAATTGCCACAACTGTGGAAAAAATGGACATAAGGCAGTGGATTGTCGTGCACCAAAGAATGATAAGAAGAAGAAGAATCAAGCTAACATAGTTGAAAAAGCTGAAGAAATGGAGGACTTGTGTGCCATGTTCATGGGAAATTCGTCTACAGCCAAAATTGATGGAGTTGGCAAGATTGCGTTGAAGATGACGTCGGGAAAAATAGTGACTCTAAACCAAGTCCTCCATGTTCCAGAAATTCGCAAGAATCTTGTGTCTACCTCACTTCTTGTCAAGAATGGATTCAAATGTATTTTTGTTTCTAATAGTGTTGTACTAAGTAAGAACGATTTGTATGTAGGAAAAGGTTACCTAAATGAGGGCCTTTTTAAGCTAAATGTAATAGCAGTTCCTATCGATAAAGTGAATGCTTCTTCTTACTTGCTTGAGTCAAACACTTTATGGCGTTCGCGTTTAGGTCACGTAAACTTCAAAACATTGCGAAAGATGATAAATCTAGAAGTATTGCCAAAATTTGATTGCATTAATTCTAAATGTCAAATATGTGTGGAATCAAAGTATGCTAAGCATCCTTATAAGTCCGTTGAAAGGAATTCAAGTCCTTTAGACTTAATTCACACAGATATTTGCGACATGAAGTCAACACCATCTCGCGGTGGGAAAAAGTATTTTATTACTTTTATTGACGATAGCACGAGATACTGCTATGTTTATTTACTTAATAGTAAAGATGAGGCAATTGATGCTTTCAAGCAATACAAGAGTGAAGTTGAAACGCAACTAAACAAAAAGATCAAAATGATAAGAAGTGATAGGGGTGGCGAATATGAATCTCCTTTTGAAGAAATATGTTTGGAAAATGGCATTATTCACCAAACAACTGCCCCTTACTCTCTACAATCTAATGGAATTGCGGAGAGGAAGAATCGAACGTTGAAGAAGATGATGAATGCATTGCTAATAAGTTCTGGCTTACCACAAAACTTGTGGGGGGAAGCTATACTTACAGCTAACCGAATAATCAACCGTGTACCTCATAGTAAAACACAGTCCATTCCTTATGAAAAGTGGAAAGGAAGGAAGCCCAACTTGAAATACTTCAAAGTGTGGGGGTGTTTAGCTAAGGTACAAGTTCCTAAACCTAAAAGGGTTAAGATAGGTCCAAAAACGGTTGATTGTGTGTTTATTGGATATGTAACCAATAGCAAGGCATATCGTTTTCTGGTTCATAAATCAGAAAATCCTGAGATTCACATTAATACGATAATAGAATCAGATAATGCTGAATTCTTTGAAACTATTTTTCCATATAAAAAGGAAAGTGAAGTGATCTGCCAAAAGTCAAAACGACTTCGGGAGGAAATAATAGATGATATGCCTAATGAAGAAAATCCGAGAAGAAGTAAACGTCAAAGGACATCTACTTCATTCTGTCCAGATTTTCTGACTTTTCAGTTAGAAAATTAGCCTCGTACCTTCAAGGAAGCAATGTCTTCCTCAGAGGCACAATATTGGAAAGAAGCTGTCAATAGTGAAATAGAATCCATATTGAGCAACCATACTTGGGAATTGGTTGATCTTTCTCCAGGTAACAAAACGTTGGGTTCTAAATGGATTTTCAAGAAGAAAATGAAAGACGATGGTACTATTGACAAATACAAGGCAAGACTTGTTGTCAAAGGATTTAGACAGCGAGAAGGTCTTGACTATTTTGACACATACTCGCCGGTAACAAGAATTACATCCATTCGGATGCTAATAGCGTTAGCCGCCTTGTATGGTCTTCAAATCCATCAAATGGATGTAAAAACAGCCTTCTTAAATGGTGATCTTGAGGAAGAAATTTACATGAACCAACCTGAAGGGTTTGTGGTTCCGGGAAAAGAAAAGAAGGTGTGTAGACTTGTTAAGTCTCTTTATGGACTAAAACAAGCACCCAAACAATGGCATGCGAAATTTGACCAAACAATGTTGTCAAATGGTTTTAAGATTAATGAATGTGATAAATGTGTTTACATTAAGAACGTTCCAAATCATATAGTCATTGTTTGCTTATATGTTGATGATATGCTAATAATGAGCAAAGACATTGCCGACATTCAAGCTACTAAGCGCATGCTTGCTAGTAAGTTTGATATGAAAGACTTAGGAGTTGCCGATGTAATTCTAGGAATTAAAATCCAGAGGACTCCTCAAGGTCTAGCTTTGTCTCAATCGCATTACGTGAAAATGGTACTTGAAAAATTCAAACACTTGGAATTTAGAAGTGCAAGAACTCCAATTGACTTAAATCATCATCTCATAAAGAATAAAGGTAAAAGTACGTCTCAATTGGAGTATGCTCGTGTGTTGGGAAGCTTAATGTACATCATGAACGGTACACGACCTGATATAGCTTGTGCGATAAGTAAACTTAGTCGATTCACAAGTAATCCCAACAAACATCACTGGGTAGCAATGAAACGAGTTCTGGGATATTTGGAATATACCCAAGACTACGCTTTTCACTACAATAAATATCCTGCGGTTATCGAAGGATATAGTGATGCTAATTGGATAACCGGCTCATCAGAAACAAAGTCCACAAGTGGATATGTTTTTACTGTTGGTGGAGGAGCAGTATCTTGGAAGTCTTCCAAACAAACGTGGATTGCTCGCTCTACAATGGAATCAGAGTTTATAGCTTTGGATAAAGCCGGTGAAGAAGCTGAATGGCTTCGGAATTTTTTAGAAGACATTCCGTTCTGGCCAAAACCTTTGGCTCCTATTTGCATACATTGTGATAGTGAGGCTGCAATAGGACGGGGAAGGAGCGTTATGTATAACGGAAAGTCTCGTCATATACGACGAAGACATAACACCGTTAGACAACTACTTTCTAGTGGAATTATCACTAT